CTGTAGTGAAAAATGAAAATTTGTTTGAGTTTGTTTGAGCATTATCCCCTGCGTCTGGTGGTGAAAGTATCCGGTATTGATCAATATCAAGAAGACACTATCAAAAAAACTTAGCCTTACCTGGCTCGTTCGATCCTAGATAAAAATGAAGAGTTGAGAAATTTGGCTACAACTCCATCAACCTACTCGCCCATCATAGAATACCCAAGGTCCTTCTCGGGGCCCATGGCGTATTTTCCAAACAAAGATTTTTTGACGAACGAATCAAAATTGAGAAAGTGGGATCCTTTTCTTGAAAATCGCAAAACGGTGCAAAGTTGGAATCTAAACTTCGAGTGAAGAATAGTTGGGACTTCTGACCAAAATATTTTATGTTATGAACAATGTAAGCTTATGTTCGATGTTTTGCCATATGAATCATCATATTTTCAATCCACCAAATCAACTCGATTAATCTTCTTGAGATTTTGCTAAACACAACATTTAAGGGTCCCATGTGGGCGTTGTTCGTAACACTGTGAGCGCTTGCTAGATTAGCGCAGACTGTCTGTCCTCAAACAAATGAGCTGTTCCATTTCTTACCGAAGTCGTCCCCACCACACTAGAAAATCATTGACTGATAGACTCTTTATCTCAGTAGGCACTTATAAGTTGAACATAGACCTGCATTAACAGTTGGTGTTTGTACTTGTTGAAATTGGTACTGAAGTTCTTACTCGATTTTGGTTAGGTTGCATAACAAAGGAAAGAGGTATTTATAAAAAAAGAAACCGGTTAAACATAAAAATAAGGCACAAAGATTAATACTGAATTTACGGCTGCAAATGAGATAGGCGAGCTTGATTGCATCGAGAGCAGTTGGTGACCTGGCCGGTAGGTGGGGTTTCTCTCATCACGAGCTTCTCAAGTCTTCCCTGCAGACTCCTAGTAGATATATCATTACCATGTGGACGTGTCATCAACAGCGCACATTTGCAACCATCCCTTTCATCCTCTAATTTAAGCTGTAAATCGCTAAGGGAAGTTTGGACGAAATACCCGTAAACATAAATGAACATACGGTAAAGAAAAGCAAAGAGCTCAAATTTAAATTATGCATGCATCATTGTTATTATTGAGCATATTTTTGTCCTAAAAGTTGTTTTACCAGTGGATAGCGGAAACGGGTTACCATTGAAGACTACCAAATTTTCTACTGCTGGGCAAGTGGGAAAACGAGATTGTTTGTTATGCATATACAGATAAGATCGCATGAAGATGTGAGTCATTGCTAATTGCAGATGTAATCCAGAAATGTTCACTCTGTTGTTGTAGTGCCTTGTATGCGGTCGTGATGAAGAATCTCAGCAATTCCTCCAAGAGTACGGAAATGGTGACTGCTAGACTTCCATTACCTCTCGAGAAGGAGCCTTTAACGATGGAGGTTTGCAATGCCGAATGCTACTCACTTCATGTCTTGTTGCATGGATTCCGTTAGATTAACTTTAGGGGGAGGTTTTGTTAACACTAAGGAAGACACGGCCACACCGTACCAGAAGGTACTACGCTGTACTCACGAAGGGTTATCTTCAACTTTTCACTAACAAACAAAATCCAGCTTACAAGTATCAAATTGACCTCTCAAAGGTGTGTTCTATTTCGTCTTCTCAAACAATGTAAAAGGATACATGCAAAATGTATTAGCAAAAATAATGATTAAAGATCTTTGCGGGTCATGTGTCCTTGTAAAGTAGTTTCTGTTTTCAGGTAGTATTGGACGATGAAGGCGAATCCATCATTATCGGTTTCAGAGTAAGCAGCAATTGGTTTCTGAAAGTCAGGCTACTTAAAATAACCTAGCAAAAAGTTATAAGCTAAATGAGTCAACTTGCGCTACTAATTCTTCCCTTTGGCGATCGCGCTGGTGTCACGCGTTCATGGAAAGCGAACTTCTGAATACTAAGAGGGTCGAAGAAAAAAATGCGTAGAGGTTTAACAAAAAATGATAGTTCTGGGTACCAAAGGTCCGGTATTTATGTGCAAATATTACATTGTTATCTAACCTGAATTACGCTCTTCAAAACTGATGGG